TAGCTATGATCTCTTGGAAATCAGCATTAATGCTTTCTGATTTTCAAGATATCTGTTTAAGGGACTTTCACGTCTTAGAAAAATTGCTTAACATTGGCAATCCATAACTTATAAAAAATTCAAGAAAATGAGACAGAGAGAAAAAGGTAACTCAGCAGCAAGAGGAGGCAATGCTTTCCAGTGATTGCCACAGACCTCAACCAGAAAGGTGACGCATGCAACACAGCACCTTCTGTATTGCCAAGGTGCATACTCCTAGGAGGTAGTGGAAGAAATTAATTAAATCATCACGTACTACAGCACTCTTGAATGCATACAAAAAGCCAAAAGGTGTGCCCAGACAATCTTCCAAAGCCCGAATACACCAGTGCATTTATATTCCCAACTGCTGTAGTTAATGAGGGCAACAGGTTAGGGTGAGGCCAAGTGTCCTGCAAGTACATCCAGCTCACTGCCAGCTTCTTAGCACACGTGGAGCAGAGCTCCCCTGCTTTGTCTTCTCATGCTTTCTCAATTCCTTCTGCTTCTCAGAGTCTCATTTTCCTCCTGGCTTGCCCTTTGGAAAAAACCCCGTCAGTCTGTGGTATGTAGAGTAAAGAGTGTACTAGTGGTCTCCTTAGAGGAAAAATGTAAGCTGTTTCCCCTCAGTACTGTCGACAGTAATTCTAACCACAAGTCAAGTAAATTAAGTTAGACAACGATTTTTTGAAAACTCTTACTTTCTTGAATATGGTCACTCTACTTGTAATGAAATGATTTATGAGAGCATTTCACCATTTGCTAAGTATTGATCAAAGGTGTTTGACATGTAAATGAAAATCAACTGCACTCTATTTACAAACAACTACCAATGTGGATGTATACTACATCATTTTCTCAGCCCCTAAATAAGAAAGGCCAACAGTGAATGGCATTCTAATGATTTTCTCTTCTTGTGATTTCTATACATTGATTCATTTGACCTAAAAATAACACTCTGGGATACATACATACATTCTACAAATGAGGAAACAGTGGTGTGAGAAGTCAAAGAACACGTCCAAAGTCTCACTAAGCAGCAGGGCTTGGACTCTGTCTCAGCAGGCTGGACCTAGGCTTTGTGCTTTTAGACATTACGTTCTATTGCCTGTCATAATCACGTTCCTTTCTGGTCCAAGGACTTAATTATAAAGTATGTTTTATGTGGTACATTCATTTCCCCCACTAGCCTTCTATTCTGACTATACTGAGCCCCACCAAGCCTCTCCAGAGTCTTTGGACTTGCTTCTCCCTGGAACACTCTGTACCTTGGATCATTATGTAGCCATCCCTTGTCACTTAGGTCTCAGTTCATTTAGGTTCAGACTTTGGTCTGTTGGAAAACACCTTAGCCTTCTTAATTTGTTGCTTCATCTGGTTTCCTTACCTACTGTCTTTCACAGTTAAAACAGATTCTTTAAAAGTCCAAAGACTCTCATCTGCCTTATTTGTGGTCAATTTCCCAGTATTTGGAGCAACACCTAGGCCAGAGCAGAACTCAGTACTTGCTGAATGAATGAATGACAGTAGGAAGTTGAAGGTTTTTGCCCTAGTTTAAATTATTGGCGGTGGTCTAACAGGGAGGAAAGCCAAAGCAAAAACAACACTTATCCTGATGACCATTGCAATTACTATTTCCTTTCCCAAGCAGGAAAAGAATTCCAATCAGTTCCTTGTGTTTCATCAATGCCTGCCCAAGTGCTGCTTCTGATTAGAGGTCACACACACCTCAGCCTCTTCTGCTTCCATCAGAGGAAAAATGCCCAACCCCATGAGTGGTGTGCTCTTCTCCTCTAAAGGCCACTTTTTCTTTTCTTTTGCTTCTTTATTGCACCAAAAACCCCTAACATTTGGTGCCTTATGACTTGGACTGGCAGAGTTTGTGAGCTCCTGAGCGTCAGCCCAGTTTGAGCTCCCCTGCCTACAAGCCACCTTTCCTTCCTCTAGGACCTGCCTATTGGCCATTGCTAGCCTACAGCCAACACTGATCCACCTCATTTGTCACAGATGAGCCATCTTTCTGTCTGGGGTTTTCTGTCTCGGTTTCTCAGTCTATAACAGCTCTCATGCTTCTTGGGCAGGACTGCATCCCAAGACAGAGCTGTTATCCTTTTGTTTCTAGGTTCCCCTCTCCCCACTCTTGGCAATGGCAGATGAGAATGTCACACTCTCAAAACAGGTGACTACTTCTTTTGGTAAGTGTAACCCGCGACAACTCTCATGTTCCTTGGGCCGGGCTACAGCTCTTGTCTCAAGGCAGAGCTGTTCTCGTGGCTCACCTCTAATTCAGTCACTATGGGGAATACTATTTCCTGTCCCCACAAAAACATACCTCTGGGGTGCTTGTTTGTACCCTTGGTGCTCTTGGCCTCAGGAAAGCCATGAAACAAAAATCCTTCAAGATTTATGTCACTTTTGTCACAGCAACGGCAAGTGGTTAGGAATCCCTTATGTCCAGGTCTTTTTCACTCTGGGGATGTGCCCCTCTTTTATTTAGTCACATACAGTGTGGTTCAAGTCTTTCTGGTTTACTCTACTCCATCAGGATCTCTCCCTCCCTCCCCACCAGATCCCTTAGATGATGTGCCTCCTGTTTTTACTCCTCCTGCCCCATATCCCCAAGCCCAAATCCCTCGGCCTTCCCAACCAGAGGTTTCTGAGCCCCTGCTTCATCCTCTTCCCTTTCCTCACCCCCACTGGCCTCTAAATCTTTCCTTGCTTCCTGTCCCCATTCCCAGACTCAACCTGAACTATCCCCTCAACCTGAGGCATCTATCACGTTGGAGAGCTCATCTTTTTTTTTTTCCCTCTGCTCCTGTGTTGCCATTCTCCCCGCTGGCTCACCATACTTGGTCTCGCATGTTTCAACCACCTATCAAACCACATGGCATTTCAACACCATCTTGCGATCTCTTACAACATGGTCCTCAGCAGGCATCTTGCTGCAGTTCACATGGAGGACTGGCCATCTTGTTGTAGGTCACATGATGGCCAGTTGCCATCTTGTGCTCCCTCACCATGTAACAGCAGCAGCCATCTTGTTGTGGGTCTCATGGTAACCAATTGCAATTTGTGCTTCCCTGTCACAGGATGACAAGCAGTCATCTTATGGACGATCACCTTGTAACTGCCCACAGACACCTTCTGGGCAGTTGGCTGCTCAGTAGCCATCTATACTCCCTACTTCACAGCCTTCTCAGCCTCAATCTCTATTTCTTCTTTGGGAACAGGCTGTCCTGAGGGACTAGTTCATATTCATGTTCCTTTGTCCCTTGCCAACCTATCTCAGGTTAACTATAAATTAGGTTCCTTTTTTGTTGACCCACAAACTTATATTAGAGAATTAAATTTGTAACTATTATGATTTACATTTCAAGGATAGCTATCTGATTCTGAACACCACCTTCAGCTCATAAGAGCAGGTTCAATTATGATAAATAGCTAAAAAAAAAAAAGCCAATCATGGACATCAAACAAATACTACTAAAAATGACCCTGTGTCTGCTGTTCTTAATTCAAGAGATCTCTGTTTACTGACCTACAAAAAGGATCTCAATAGTCTATTTATAGTTACAAATTTAAAATCTATAAAAGTTATTATAATTCAAATTGGCCAAATATACTTGAGTGCACTATGATTGTGTAAGGTATTTGTCTGTTAAAGTATATGTTTCTATGTCCAGTCTATACAGATCATCGATATATATTTCTCTGTCATATCCATAAACAGCTGTTCTTTTTATTTGAGCTCAATGATCTTTTCTTTTTTCTTTTGAATTTTCAAATTATTTAATCAAGGTTTATTTGCATTATAGATTTAAAAGTCATGCTTCCAATGGGTTTTCCAGCTGGTCAAAAATTGGTTACATTGTTGTTTATTATTGACTTGGGTATCTCATTGTTTAAAAATTAATGGGCTACATGTTATATAGCCCATTAATTGATTGAGCTTTTCATAAGTTATTAAAAATTACTAAGATAATTAAACAAAATCCATTAGGGTTAAGATTGTTAGACAAAACCAGAACTGAAGAATAAACAAACATCTGCCTGATAACATTTTTAACCAGTTTTTATTCATTAATCAGAGGCCCCAATAATTCCCATAGCCTTATGGGAGACACCCCAACTAAAAATATATTAAGGTTTTGATTTAAAAATACTAATACAAAAGCTTCATATGCTAAGGCAATTCAGTATTGCTAATCTTATGGTATATTAAATATACTTATGCCTTCAAGTATACAAATCTTCTAAAATATATGATAACAAACATGTTCTTTCAGATCCAGACATCTGCCTTTTTCTGATGCTCCATCCAGGAGATTCAAGTCAAACCAACATTAGTTCACCAATCAAATAATAATTTTTTAAACAAAAATTTATGAAATGCATATGCTACATATGTGCCACTAAGAGATACTTTAAAACATTTCTTCATTGATATCCTATTAATGAACAAGTTAAAACCTTCTTATGTCAAAAATGCAAATTCAAGTATGTTACAAAATGTCATGATTGTCATTCAACAATATTAGGCAACTTTTTGTGTAAAATATTCTTATTACCTCTTACTTTCTCAGTCTACCTTGACATTTGTGCAAAACTACAAAAACGTTAACCTTGACCTTCAAACCCCACAGGAAGACCTTCTTAATATGGCTTTTCATGTTTTCAACAGAGATAAAATTCAAAAGCAGAAAAAAAGACACAAAAAAAGAAATTTGCTAAATATCAGTCTGATCTTTTAGCAGTGGCACTTGGGGCTCTTAACACAGATAAACCAAAACAAGACAGAGCTGCCCAAGGCCCTCCCAGACCATGCTCCACGTGTGAAAAGGAAGGACACTGGGCAAGAGAGTGCCTCAATCCACCACTTCCTCGGGGTCCCTCTCCCCACTGCAATCTCAAGGGCCAGTGGAAGAGTGACTGTCCAAGCTGCCAGAGTAGGGTAAGCCATCCTTCAATTCCTTGCCCTCACAGGAGATCTCATCACCAGTGGATTCATTGCTGGCTGATCCACTTGGACTTGCTGCTGAAGACAACTGATGGGGCCCACAGCCCCCATTAAGGTATCTTTCACAGAGACCTAAGTCTCACTGGAGGACTCAGGTAAGACACTCTCTGTACTGTAGACACAGAGGCCAAATATAGTATTCTTTCTGAGTTTCCAGGCTATTATATTAAATCCTCAGTCACTAAAGTGGGTGTTGATGGCCAGCCTACACAGCCTCTTCAAACAGGGCCCATTCCATGCAGATTCCAAACTATCTTCTTCACTCAGAGCTTTCTAATAATACTAGTATGTTCCATATCCTTTTAGGGATGGATCTTCTCCAAAAGCTTAACTTCCTCTTTACTTTCTCCCTCCTCACAGCTTGCATCCTCCAGACACACCTCACAAAACTCATTTTAAAACTACACCAACCTTGGTTTCAACTCCCTGCTTCCCAAAGTCTCCCTCTTCTTGCTGACTACAACCAAATCCTCTCCTTTCTCCAACACTTGTTACAACAACATGCTGATCTCTGTCTTCTCCAGCCTTCTAATGGGACTAAACTAGATTCTCCCACATCCCCAGGAGACCTAATTTATCTTAACTCTTCTAACTCTACAGGACTGCAACCAAAGTGAAGTGGCCCCTACTTGGTCTTCCTCACAACTCTGATGGCGGTCAAGGTTGCTAGACTAACTGGTTCCATGTCACTCAGGCTAAGTAGATGTGAGTGTTCATCAATGATAAACTCCTTGTCTGAGTTAGAACACCTGGTACCAGCTTCTACATGGGCATCAACTGTCATCTCGTTGGCTTTCCTGATCCCCAACACAGTGCCCCTGCCCAGCAGGAATCAGAGAGACTCAGCACACTCTCCTAACAACAGAAAGACTGGAATGAAAGGTATCTGCTGTAGTATAAATTACTGGACATTTTTGGCAGTGGTCTAACATGATGGAAGGCCAAAGCAAAAAACAACACTTACCCGACAACCACTTCCTCCTCCTTCCCCATCAGCCCTGATCACAATTTCCTATTTCTTTTCCCATTTGGGAAGAGAATTCCCATCAGTCCCTCACATTTCATCACAGCCCACCCAAGCACCACTTCTGGTCAGAGCTCACACACCCGTCAGTCCCCTCTGTTTCCAACAGAGGAAAAATGCCCAACCCTACTAGTGGTGTGCTGCTCTCCACGTCTGCAATAAAGACCACTTTTTGTTTTCTTTCTCTATTGTGCCAAAAAACCCTAACAGAAATCTTCAAGAAACAATTGGCTGTTTCTTATGGTCTAAAGCTAGGAAATGGTTTTTCCCCTAGCTTTAGGATGAAGGAAGAAGTCATTAGTTTAGCAATGAGGTCTTTGGAGATCTTTCAGAGAACTGTTGCCACCAAGCAGGTTGTGTGTGTGTGTGTGTGTGTGTGTGCGCGCGTGTGTGTGTGTGTGTTAGGGGGTGTATAGGGAAGCAAAAGCAAACAGCTGTGAGTTTAACAGCACATGGAAAATAAGAGTGTTTTTTCTTTAACTCTCCCAAAGTTGAAGAGGTTACAAAAGTAAGTAGCAACATTGTTCTTGCAATAGGAACTCACACCTCCTTTCTTCTCTGCTGTCCTGGAGGAGAGCAGAGGTAATCTGTTGGTGGAGGTAATTACAAAAAGAACAATGAATGAAGAAGTAAACTGTGAAGATTTGCGGGGGCCAGTGTCTTCACATTTTGCATGATAGGAGTAAGGGAAAGGACATATTGAAAGGGGGCTTTTTACTTATCCACATAGGATCCATATAAAGGTTAAGATCTGTTCCACTTGTCAACAAGGATTTTTAATTCTGAGATCATTGAAAATAATATTAACAAGGGCTTACTGAATTTCCCATTGATTTACTAGGCTTTACACTGTAAAGGTGGTCAAGAAGTTATTATAAGCCTGCTCCATCTGTCTATCCGTGTCCATCCATCCTACTTACCTGTGTACCAACCTACCTGCCTAGCTGTGTATTTTATGCAGTGCTGGTGACTGAGCTCAGGGCCTTGTGCAAGCTAGACAAATGATCTACCACTGGGCTGCACACTCTCAGCCCCAGCTCGTATTTAGATTAGAACTGCATAAATAAATAAATGGAGACTGGTATAGCAAAGAAATTGAATTAAAATATTTGGGAAATTGGTGTTTCAAGTACTATTAATGTTCTCCAAAGTTCATATATAACTGAACAAATATCAGTATGTGTCCCTGGCCCTCCTAAAGGCTGCAATTTGGGAATGTTGAAAGGTTGTTGTCAAATACAACCAGTACTAAAAGTTAAAACTATGAACTTAGAAATTAAATATACTAAAACCAAACAGAGTGAATATTCAGAACTTACAATTTTTGTTTTACTACATTTTGCTGTTTTCCATATCCCTGAGGTTATTTATATCTATTGTATCTGCACATTGGAAGTGTTATATAATGGTGTGTTCATGAGCGTTTATTTCCAGCTCTGCATTCACTGAACACACATAATAGTTTGAAATTGGTCCAGGTTGAAGAATTTATACCCTAGAAATTGGCAATTGCTACAAACCAGAATTTAACTTATTTTATAAATACTTGAATATTAAACATTTAGCACTATATGCAGTGACCTATCTATTAACTAGAAACTATATGCATATCTTTAACTTGTTAGTTTGATTAGTATGGGAATTTCCAAGAGCTAGAGTCTTTTTTTTAAAAGTTAGAAAAATAAAAAAGAAAACAATTAGAGCCACATGTGGTGGCACTTGCCCATAATGCCAGCACTCAGAAGGCTGAGGCAGGAGGACTGCCATGAGTTCAAGGGCTGCATGGTTACAGAGTGATTGCAAGGCCTACGTGAACTACACAGTGTGACCCTGGGTGGAAAAGCTGAAAACAAAACAAAACAAAAACAAAATTAGAATTCTATTTGTCTTTCCCATTAGTTTTTATCAGTTTTTGGTATTTGTGACTTTTAATCTTTTGGTACAAACTTTAAGCAGTTTTCAAGATGAAGTAAAATTCTTTTGTTGGGCTGGTATTACTATTCACTGTAACTGCATTAGTAAAATCTTCCACTGGAACTTGGGCACCTTTTTATAATAATCTTGTTGTAGATATTACAGAAGATACTGGAAGGTTTTTGTGTACTCAGGAGTAGGAATAGAGACTGCTTGGCAGGTAACTGAAGGTTATGGAAATACGCAGGTTTGGTTACTTTGGAGTGGCTCATTCCCCCCCCTACAAACATGGAAAAATATCTATGGAATTACAGTTGTTTAAATGTATTTCCATGTGTCTGCAAATCACTTTTTAGACTTGAATAAAGAGGAGAAAGAACAGGGAAGAGGGGAGAAGGGCAAAGAGATAGGATGAAAGAGTGGACAAGGAAACTGATATTTAGTGGTGTAACAAATAAAAAAATACACTGTTTTGAGAATTTAGTCACAAATAGCCCAGTTTTCATTCCCATGTGTGAACATAGTCAAGCATTTTTTAAGTACTTCTCCAAAATGAACAACTTAATTAATATCCAAGTTTGCTAATAAAATGTTCCTTAGGATTACTTTTTTGATAGATTGACCCATTAAATAGTTTTTTCTCCCAACTGCCAATCAGTGGTACTTTGTTTTACAATAACTCTCTTTTTTAAAAAGCTACTAACTATAATATTGAGTTTATAATATAAAAATTTAGTTTATCTGTGATATAATCCATTTATATTTATGTTTAATCTTTTATTCACTCTATGATTGATGTTTATTGATTATAAAAAGCCAAAGCACCTCCCTAGCATGTAAGAAGCCCTGGGTTTGCTCCCTGACATTGCAAAAAAAAAAAAAAAAAAATCCAATAATGCTCTAGGATAAATGTAAAATCACTTGGCATTTTACACTGCCAGTTAAAATATTTATTGATTTCCAAAAGCCTCTAGTTAATTGATTCCTTTAATCAAAAGCCATTTCAATGGAATGGAATTAAATTTATCAGAAATAGATGACCTGCAGGCCATCATTTTTATAGTAACCACAAGCAGCTCTTTGGACGTGATTAACTAGAAGAGCGTCATGTTTTGCATTAGTGTGGGAAAAATACCACTTTCCTCAGGGGAATACATCTGCAATTCTCTTTGCCAGCAGTGAGTCTAAGAAACGAAGGTCAGCAGGGGTGATACCTGATGCATTTTGCAGAAAACTTTCCCTCAGTAGTTGATTATAATTTTTTTTTTGTCTTTTTCCTTTTTATCAGTACCGGGGATTGAACTCACGACTGCCTGCTTTACAAGGCAGATGCTTATGCCACTGAGCTAAATCCCCAGCCCCCAGTTGATTATAAATTTAAATAAAGTTTTCAATTCAATCTCAGTCTCTCATCTTGAGGCCCTAAGTTTGGGAAGAAGGGGCAACGCTGATCCAACTCATTCTATGTTTAGGGCAAAGACAGAATGCTCCAAAGATAGAAATTCAATTCAGAGAAGCAAACAGAAAATACTTTTTAAAAATACATACAAATGTACTCTCCTTAGAAGATATTTGGGGTGGACTGGAGACATTTTAGGTCATCACAACTAGAGAAAATATACTACTTTTTCTTTCTTTCTTTTTTTTTTTACGTACTGGGGCATGAACCAGGGTATTCACACTGAGCTGCAGCCCTAACTTTTTTTTTATTTTTAATTTTAGACAGGATTTTGCTAAGTCAGTAAGTAACGCAGGCTGGACTTGAACTTGTAATCTTTCTGACTCAGCCTCCCAGAGTGCTGAGTTTACAGACATGCATGTACCACCACACTTGGCAGTACTGTTACTTAAGGAAAAGGAACCAGGGATGCTGCTAAACATCCTACAATTTGCAAGACGGCCCCTCTGTAACAAAAATTATCCAGCCCAGAATGTCAGCATTACAGAGCTTGAGAATCTGCCATAAACGTAAACTATTACTACAATATTAGATTAATAAAATATTGCTCAAAATAAAGGTGAGTATACTGGATATATTTAATACTAATCATCTAAACGCATGTTTCTTTTTTATCTATGAGTAATTTTTGAGGATTCTTTACCTAATGCAGCCATGGTAAACAATACCAGTCATCAAGTTCTTTGGATGCTAAGATGACAATATGTAATCTATTAACTAGTGATTTCTTACTGTATATTTTTTTCTTGAAATTCTGTATTACTTGTACCCTTTTACTGCTTTGTTTTGTTTTTGTTTTTCTCTTAAAAAAAAGTTCTTTGGGTGTGCTAGGCACTGCAGTACGTGCATTTTGCTTGCATTATCTGATTCAAATTCATTACAACACAGGACGCTCCAATTATTCTTAGTGATTTTTTTATTGTATCAAGTATCCTCTAGAGGTCAGTACTCACTTGCTCTTGACTCTCAGTAATTGGCAGTAGGATGACCTTGAATGTTGTGACAAAACAGTCATTGTCCTGAGAGGCCCTAGAACTCAGTGGGATATCATTTTAATATCCTCCAAGGATTTCTAGAGTACTGACAAATATTTGAGACATAAAAAGGGGTGGGATTTATCAAAAATGTTTTAATGGAAAAGGCACACACAAGTCTGAAAAGCTGGGGGAAAAAGACACAGTCCAAATCCATGTAGTACAAACTTTGTCTTTCTTTCCCTCCAGCACTGGGCAGTGAACCTGGGTCTCATGCGTGGTAGGCAGGCATTCTACCACTGAGCTACACTCTCAGCCCCTTGGGTGCAAGGCAAGAAGGCAAGTCAGGGATGTACACGATGTGGGATGTAACAACTTTTCCTCAGCCCATCCCACCAAACACGTATGAATGACGGATGATGTGGTAACCTTAAGCAATACTGATAAAATAATTTTCAGAGAAATACGCATTTCCAGTCATACATAGTTGCTGATAACATTCATTTAATATCTGGCCATTATTTCTGGTTGTTAGGTAATCTTAACCAGCTGAGACAAGAGGATATGAATTATTCCTTTGCAGTAATCTGAGAACAAAATTAGAATTACAAACAAAATATTTCAATGACTAACCAAATAAAATACTTTCCTGTAAAGGAGCTTGTTTATATTTCATACCTTTTTAATGCTTAAAATAATTAAGACCAATAAAAATGTGTCAGCCTTGTAATTCTAATTTCAAACCTGTAAATGAGTAATTGGTGTACATTTGGGATCTTTAAGTAAAAACTTATTAAGTTTATTTACACTCTGGAACATTTAGAAAATCATTAGTTT